CCTAAATGAGATCAAGTAAGGAAAGAAATTTTACCTATAAATCGATGTTTTTAAATAAATCAGTGATTTGATTAAGTTTGATTTCAAAACTTAATGACAAAAAAGTTAAAAAGAAACCAATAAGTTTTAATTAATATAAATCAAACTTTTAAAATTTTCTGAACTGTAATAAGGCTAAGTGAGGAAAGCAATAAACTTTTTTAATAATTCAATAATTTGATTAAATTTAATAAAGGTACGAAATTCATATAATATACAGTTGAGGTCTTTAATTTGAAGTAAAACTCAATATTGAGTTCAATTGGGTGTCAACGTATTTAGTGGTATATTTCTTAAAAATTTATTGAGTATTTATTGAAGAATTTTAAGTGAAATTTAATGGTACCGACCAAAGAAAGAAAGGGGAAAAAAAAAGAAAGAAAAGAGATAGAGAGAAAAGTGCAAAAGGAAAAAAAAAAAAAAGAAAAAAGAAAAAGAAAAAGAAAGGGAAGAACCAAACGGGTTTTTCTAGATAACCGAAGCTAGGAGAAAATTCAGAGGTTGAATAGAAGTGTTCTCTTCTTTGAGGTATCTTAAATTCAGAACCTAGCATTTGATTTATATATATATATAATTAACTGGGAGATGTGTTTGATTAACATTATGACCTTATGCTTAATGTAGTACTAGAAATGAATAAAATAATTAAAATTTATGAAGTGTTTAATTAAAAAAATAATAATAGTACTCATGATTTAAATTTTCAAATGTTCTTTTTATAAAATTTTGTCTTTATTTTATAAATTAGATTAAATCTATATGCTTAAAATTTTTTTTTCATACTCCCTCGGATTTTCCGTTCAATTTTATTTCATACTCCTACGGTTTTTCCTCTCAATTTTAATAAATCTAGTATTTATCAAAACTTACACATTGTGATTCATAAAAAAAAAAAAAAATTACATATTGCGAATTTTTAGGCTGAACTAGCAAAACAAAAAAATTGATAGTCCAAATTAAAAATTACTATTTTATCCTCTTAATCACTGCATATTGTGCGGATGATAGACGCTACATATTGTTTTCTCAGACTGGTCTTTCGGGGATGGTGGAGCCTTTCAAGCACATATAAGAGTCTGTCAGTCAAGTTAAAAAAATTTACGCCGAATAATATTAAAAATTATGTTATTTAAATAAATATTATAAAAATAAAATAATTATAATTTTGTTTTAAAAATTATATTATTTTAGTTTTTTTAACAAAAATTTATTAAAATAATATAAT